CAAATCTTTTGTCTTTTACTTTCAATTTTTTTTTTTCATTAAATGTGAAGGCCCCAGAAATTTATTAGTTAATTATCGGCTTTGGGTCCCGGAAATCTCAGGGCCGGGCCTGCATTTGGCACAGCTTATGAATTGGATTTTGTATTTTATGTAACGGATATATCATGCTGGTGTGTGTATCCTTCTGAAGTGTGCCCTTCTGGAGGCATTCAAGCTCTTCATTTTGTATAGCTAGTTGAGTAGATTATTCATATAAAAAATTAGGATGATCAAATATCGATAATCACATAATCACATGTGTATTTTTTTTTTTTTTTAAAAAAAGCAAGTATGATTTTGGCAACAAATTATCAAATTTTTAAATACAAATATAATTTGATCACATAAATACTGATATTCAATCAATTTGATTTTTTTGCATAAATAGTTTTCTCGTTGAGTCATCATTAAATTGGGCCTGGAATAAGGCCCACCAAGGCACAGCAGACCTGTTTCCCTCTCACGTACAAGTGGGTTTAATGTGGGCTCAATAAGTGTTGGCTTCATCAATGTGTGGGAGACAGGGGTACACTGCCCTACTACAGAGTTACACAAAGTACTAAAATTGGGTCAATAGGCCTCTCAGCATTGGGCCATTATATTGATGGGCCTTCTTAAATTGTGCATGTGCTTGTGTTGTGGGTCTGATCGCCATGTTGTTCATGACGCTAGCTTGGGCTTTTGGGCCTCTTCCAGGCTTATCCTTTATGCCAATTGATTTTTTATAAGGGAAAAGGTAACATAAAATAATAAAAAAATAAAATAATAATTACCACTAATAGATGTTATTAATTAGACTTATTTATTCAAAAGTTTTGAGTGAATTTTATTTGTTCATTATTATTTTTTTTAAACCCTTTTAATCCTTGTTTTGATACTGAAATTTTTTTGAGACTTATCACATGCGTTTTGTATTTGTAGAATAATAATTTGAGACTGGTAATGAAACTAAAAAAGTTATCAAAGTGATAAATGATTAGGATAATTTGACTTTTGTTTGTTAGTTTTGATTTATTTTTAGTTTATTTGTATTAATTTTATTAAAATATAAATATAATGTAGAAGTGTAAGTAGTTGAATTATATATATTTTTAAATATTTTTACAATAATAAAAGTTAGAGTAGAACATTTGATAAATAAGTTTCAATTGATGCACGTTTTTGTAAGTATGTGATAGATTATCTTGAAATTTTTTTGCTGTTACAACTTCTCTAATTTTTTCAACCCCAATACCAACAAGCAGATATAGGGGTGTATATCTAGCCTGGCCCAGCCCATGGGCCTCGTAGGCTCTTGTCAAAATTTGGGCTTGGTTGAGTCGGCCTACGGGCCAAAACATTAGGCCCAAGCCTAGGGTATTCGAGCTTTGGACGGACCAGAGGGCTGACTCGGTGGGCCTGAGCCTGGCCTCGGGCTTGGGCGGGTCTGACCATTTTTTTTTGTTTTTTTTAAATTTTTTTCAACAAAAATTTATTATTTTCCACTAAAAAAGACATTAGGCCTTGGGTGGGCCGGACCTCGGGGTTGATCCTTGAGTGGGTCTTAAGCGAGCCAATGGGCTGGGCCGCGGGGCAGGCCTCGGGTTGAGCCTTGAGTGGGTCTTAAGCGAGCCGATGGGCTGAGCCACGGGCGGGGCTTAAAAAATGATGGTCCAGGCCCAAGCCTAGGCCTAGAGCTCGTACCTGGGCCGGGCCCACTCCGGGCAGTGGGCGGGTTTCGTGCTGCCCACAAGCCACATGCCATTTTTACACTCCTAGATAGATACATAAACAAAGACAGAAACAAGAGATTACAAACTTGACCTTGTTTTGCCCATCCGTTGCCATTTCTATTTCCAGGGAAACATGTAACCAAAAAAAATGGGAATTATATTGAAATTTTATCAGTGAAAAATATTTACAAAAAAAAAATAAAAATTATTAGGTTAAACTATTAATAGATCTTAATAGTTGGATTTAATCTCATCAAGTCTTATTGAAAATAAGTGCTAGTAAAATTATCGTTAAAAATAATTTTTTGTGACGATTTTTTACATATGTCGCTAAAAATTAATAATTAGTAATTTTTTTTGCCATGATTTTTATTAAATGTTGTTAAAACTTATAATTAGTAACGTTTTCTTGTGACGATTTTTTTAAACTGTCATTAAAACTTATAATTAGTGACATTTTTTGTGACAAAAATTTTAAACTGCCTTTAAAAATTACAATTAGTGATATTTTTTTAATAATGTTTGATAACTTATTGGACAATAAGTTCATCTATTATGATCTATACATAAGTTTCCAAAGTGTTATAAATATTAATAATTAATATCATAAAATTTTTCAATAATATGTAATAATTTTTTAAAAACTACCTTTTGAACAATAATTTTCCCAATAAAAAAAAATAGGCACACGATTGTGATAGTTTGGGGGTGATCGCGAAGTTTTGGGGTGATCGCGAATTGGATTTTGTCAGGTGGCATCTCATTTGCCATCTGTTTAAAATTAGGTGGATTGGAAAAAATTAATTTGTATCCGTCCATCGATTTAGCGGATGAATATGATCAGTTTGGCAGTATGAATTTTACAAAATTTAGACATTTTTTTGAATTATAATTCATAACTTTTACAATTTCCAATAACTAATAATCTGAAAAAATATGTATTATTTATTTATAATAGACTATGGCGAATCTATTTTCACAAAACATATATGTTATTATTTTTATTCTATGTTGTTAGCAGTTTCTTTTGTTTTTTTTTGAATTTCATCTACGTACAGATCGGGTTCATGTGGGTGGGGGATGATTGATCCACCATCCATACTGGATCTACGGATTTTGAAATATTTTATCCGTATTTGTTCATCGGAAGACATGCATTCACCCAAAATCAATAGGATTGGATCGGTTTGGTCGAGTTGGGTGGATATTAGGAGGTGTTCGCGGTTCGGTTGAAGCCGGGAAACCTCTAATTCGCCATTCGTCTGCCAAATGGGCGGATTAAAAAAAATCAATCCGCATCTGTTCTTCGAATTGATAGATGTGGATTGAACGGATTGACAGATGGATGTGAATCAGTTTGGTAGTTTAAACTTTTACAAATTTTAAATATAATATAATAATAACTTGTCAACATTTTTTTTTTTGATAACAATCTAATCTAATATAACTAAAAGATTATCAAGTAAATTGTCAAATACCAATAATAAATACATATAAGAAAATCATATATTATTAAAATTATTTCATTACTTTTTTTTATTATTTAAAAATTATTTAATTTGATTTTAAAGAAAAATGACAAAATTAAGTCTTATATTTTCTACACAAAAATACTAAATATCAACCCTTACTATTTGATAAAAGGATTTTCAAATTGAAAACACAACATAATATCCAAATTATTTTTTAATTGAAAACACAAACAGAATATATAAAAAAATTGAAAATACAAAGTTTTACAAATTATTAGAGATACACGCGATTTGGAGATTCGATTGTGGCCAAAAGAATTTCAAATCCACCATCCATCTAAAACTAAATGAATTGAAAAAAATCAATCCATAACCGTCTGCTCATCATCACGCATCCATCCAAAATAGAATGGGCCGCTGCGCACCTAGCGGATATATGATGACCCTAGTGATGCTACAGTAACCTGGCAGCAGTTAAAACTGGCATGGCAATAGCCACAAACTTATGCTGAATTCTACTGTATATATATAAGTACATGTCTACATGCATACAAGTTTACTGCTCCGATTTAGACGACGATCATGGGGAACTCATCGTCGAACTCGGCAACGCCGTCCCCAAGGTCTCCTCCTTTCTCTCTCCTCTTTCTCTCTTCAAAAACTTCCTCTTCGATCTCGAATCTTGACCTAGAAAACAATCAATTCTTCATTTATGTGTATATGCATCAATCAATGCGTGTGTTGTTTTTGTATTCTTTGATTTGAAATGTACTGCTAATTGAATTTCTGATTCGATCTTAGAAATCACACTCAATTGCTTAATTATGATTTTTTCTAGTTTTTGTGAGCTTTGGTTACTTGATTTCATTGTAGCATACTTGCAAATTTTGTACATAATTTCTTTGATGGAAGTGTACTGCTAATTGAATTTCTCATTCAATCTTAAAAATCAATGTTTGGTTTGGAGTGTTTAAAAAAAAAAAAAAAGTTTTATGAGTTTTCAATTTGTATTTTTATATTTTTAGTGATTTTTTAAAATATTTAATTATTATTTTTACTGTTTAGATCTACTTGATATATTTAAAAAAATATAAAATTTACATAAAAATCTTTAACAAATTTATTGAATATAACAAAATATGAAAATGTATCAAATTTTTATATTTTTTGTGATTGATAAATTTTTTGAAGTTTTTTTTTTTTCCTATAAATACTATAGGTGCATTAAAAAAAGTTACAACTTGTGCTTGCAAACTGGACAAAGCCCGAAACTTGCCCAGTTTCTACTCTTTGGTCGTCAAGCTTCCACGCAACACATATGGTATTATTCAAACTCAACTCATGTTCAACTCGTTAAAACTTGTTTGAATCAACTCGTTATATAAACAAATTAAGTTCATTTGATCCATATCATTGTTTGCTTCAGATGATGTGCCCATCTTCTCAGCTCAATCGTGTGTGTTGGAGTGAGAGAGAGAGAGAGAGGAGAGAGTCAAAACTCAGCAAAGAGTGAATAATACATGCATTGAAGATTTAGACCAGGCCGATGGGTTTCTAGCCTGGCAGCATCTTCCCGCCTCTCACGTATGAGAGGTCGGGAATTCGATTCTTGCCAGAGGTGAGATTGGGTGGCAGTGCACCTTTAGCTTATGTTTGTTTGTACGACTTGCAACTGCTGCCTAGTGTCTCTTTCCCCTCATCTTTAAGAGTAGGCTAGATATATAACCTGTATTTCGAATCCTCAGTCAATCTCAAAATCAATAATTTAGAAGCCAAATTACTTGAAAATTTCTATATAGAAGCTAATTCATTAGTTTATGACAACACCACCAGTGGGCACCGGCAGAAAAACTGTGTTCCATAGGTTGTCAAACTTATTGCAAGAAACAACAAGAAGGGGTAAGAAAATCAGAACTTCTTGATGAACTCAAGAATGTGTTTGTTGATCTCCTCCGGCTTTTCTTGGTTGAGAAAATGTGCTACACCTTCCATGACAACTACTTCCTCCAATAGCGGCACATCTTTCTTGAATTTGCCATTATGTATTTATTCCTTTGCGCCCGGGATGTTATAGACCAAGTCCAAGTCACCCACAACAAACTTCACAGGCACTTTCACTTGGGACCCTGTCCAGGGTGCTGTGAGTTCCCAGTTTCTGTAATGTAGAGGGGAAAAAAGGGAGGGGGAAAAAAGGGGGGAAATTGGTAAATCAACCACATGAATTGAACCTAGAAATAAAATCAAGGCTAACAGTCCATTTGTTTCAGTAGAGAATATTTTCTAGAATAAAGTTTTGGAGAACGTTTTCAAACTAATGTGCTAGTGCTTGTATTAGTGGTGGGGTGGTGGAGGAGCAAGTGGTGGTCGTGATGGTATTGGTGGAGTGGTGGTGGCGGTGGCATTGGTAAGACTTGGTCCAAAAAATGTTTTTTGTCTTTCAAAAATAGAAAATGTTTTCCACCCTAATAAGCTTGTTTTCTATTGAATATGGAAATGTTTTCCATTGACTTTCATTTTCCATTGTACCAAATGCTAGAAAATAGGTAAAATATTTTTCAAAAAAAAGTTTTTCATCGAAACAAACGGAGCAGAAGATTGACATAATTTATGGTAGGCCTAATTTAAAACCAATCGATCCCCAACTCATAAACTAATTGCACATGCAAAATTTTAGATGTCATTGCATAACTACACCCTTGGATTAAAAGTTTGGAAGGTAACTTACTGATGTATAACTCGGTAGTAATTAATTCCTCCGATGAATCCATTCTTCTCAAATTTGCTAGCATAGTAATCGACATCTTCTTCCGACAACCAAGAAGGCAAGATAACTTGAGTATCAGGTGAATTGCCATCCCCAAATCCTTTACCTTTAGGGAAAAGAATTGGAGCAGGATCGCTGTATGTTAGGAATTTCTTGACCACCCTTCTAACACCAATCTGGGCAAACTCAACTTCAATTTCCCCAGGTACCTACAACATAATTTAATTTAGCCAAGACCTTGTGTGTGTGTGTGTATGCGCGCGCGCATGCGCGTATACTCAGATAGAGGAGAGAGGGGAGATAAGTTGAAACACATCGGGTATGGATTCAAGGGGTGAAACTCATTTGGCCAAATAATCCGATTTGATGGATGGGGCTATTTAAGAAGTAGTTGGGTTGAAATAGAAAAACTGAACCCAATCCGAACTGAACGTCATCTTTCTGTTTGGTTTGGATTTGATCAAGTAAGTCGTTTTTCAATTTGGCTTGGTAGGGTTCTTTCACTTGCTTGGTTTGGTTGGATGCCAGGTTGAAAAACTTGGAACACAATTTGGTTGCAAATTGAATCAACCTCAACTGCATACAACCCTCCCATGATCACATGAATTGTTGCTATCTACATCAATTCAATTATGTCAATGCAACATAGTCAAATAACCCAAAGCAAAAACAAATAAATAGATAGATAGATGGTGTTAAATTTATCGAAGTTAATTCCACCAAATTCCTAAACAAATTGTCTAAATTTTGACCACAATAAATAATTGTACTAATAGTGATGTATACAAATAGAGCTAAACTTAAATTTTACATGAACTTGACATGGGATCTAATGCGAATCCAAGTTTCATCAATTCTTATATTCAACAATCAACCATTGAAAATATGGTTCTAATATAATAATGGATAAAACTATACACAAATCAAAGAGTACAGATCATCCAATCAACCATTGAAAACATAAACTATGCACCAACCAAAGAGTACAGATCAAATGAACAAGGCTTCACACATATAGATGCTATTTGTGTGTGGAAGTAATCAATCCCACAGTGTTAGGTTTTATTATTGGCAATCCCGTTTGACAAGAATTTCTTTAAAAAGTTGATTTTCTTCCAAAACTAGGATTACTTTTGAATTTCTATAAGTAATTGAATTTCTTCCAAAACTAGGATTACTTTTGAATTTTCTATAAATAGTTGGTTTTCTCCCAAAACTATTGAATTCCTCCAGATCTTCTTTTTGGTTCTTAAGGTTTATATCTGGGGATACTTTGTGAATTTTCTTTGATGTTTTGATTGAGCATTCAACTCATGTTTTAAAGAGTATACATTAAAGGTTTTGTGTGTTCTACCAAAGAGAGAGTTGTTCTTCGGTGGATTCTGAAGAATTTGAGACTGAAGCTTTGGTGGATTCTGGGGTGGCTCATCGTAAAGACAATTCCGAGGTGAAGACGGGTTGGAAGAGACACATAGAGGTTGGTTCAATTAGGCGTGGATTCGCTAGGTAATTGAGAGTATACCTGTGTAATTCCTTTAAATCTTCTTAGTGGATTGTTTTGTGGCTGTTGCTCGTGGTTTTTTAATCACAGTTGGAGGTGTCCAATTGTGATTTTTTCCACGTTAAAATCGTTGTGTTGATTTGTCTTGATTGTTTGATTGAGATTGTTATATACTGCTTAAAATTGTTACATAATCACATATCAAGATCTAGGGGATTTCTCGATTTTTCAATTGGTATCAGAGCAGGTCATTCTACTTTTTTTTTTTTTAAAAAAAAATTCTTTTAGAAGGAGATCTTGTTTGATTTGTGATAATGGATACAATTCGTGAAGGAAATTCTATGGTTCGACCACCCCTACTTGACGGATCCAATTATTCGTTTTGGAAAGCTCGGATGAGATCGTTTTTAAAATCTATTGATGAAAAAGTTTGGCAATCCGTCATGAATGGGTGGACTGAACCAACAATTACTGTTGATGGAGTAACTTTCCCCAAACCAATTGATAAGTGGGACACAATTGATTACCAATATAGTAGCTGAAATAGTAAAGCTATCAATTTTCTCTTTTGCGCTGTCACACCTGAAGAGTTTAGTCGTATTTGTAATTGTGAAGTTGCAAAAGAGGCTTGGGATATCTTACAAACTGTTCATGAGGGCACTCCTTCTGTGAAACGTTCAAAACTTCAAAGGCTCACATCTAGTTTCAAAAACCTTTCAATGAAAGATAGTGAGACCTTTGATGAATTTTATGTGAAGTTGAATGACATTGTAAATTCCAGCTTCAATTTTGGTGAAAAAATACCAGAATCCAAAGTTGTGGGAAAAATTTTGAGATCCTTGCCCGATCGGTTCCAACCAAAAGTTACGGCTATTGAGGAGGCTCAAGATGTTGACAACCTCAAGCTAGATCAGTTGGTTGGAAATCTCCAAACTTATGAGGCACATAGGAATTTCAAAAAGAAACAAAAAGATATTGCTTTTAGTAGTGCTCATAGAGTTGGAGAGGATTCTGATGAGGATTGTGGGATAGATTCCAAGATTACAGCTGCTTTTGTTAAACAATTTAAAAAATCTTTTTTAAAAAAGAATCTTAATTTTTTGGAATCTACTCATACTCATAAATCTAAAGGTAAAGATAAACTCAAAATTAATTCTATTGCCAAGAAGGAGAAATGAAAGATACAAAGGAACTCTGAAAGAGTCCAATGCTATGAATGTGAAGGATTTGGCCACTTTGCTTCAGAATGCCCCATTCGTTTGAGGAAAAAGAAAGCCCTCGCTATCACTTGGGATGATGAATCAGAATCTGATGAAGATGAAAGTGACAACGAAGACCAAGGCGAAGAGGGACATAAACAATTCCTTACTTTCATGGCGGCTTCCGAAGCTGAAGGACAAACAGATTCTCCAAAGAGGTCAGTTGAGAATATCACTGATGATGAATCCTCGGAGAGTGATCATGAAGAGCTTGAGCAAGCTTATGAAAAGTTGTATAAGGAGTCTCTTAACTTATTCAAATTGAATGACAAACTCACAAAGAAACTCAAAGCATGTGAAAGTGAGAATGTCAAACTTAAGGAGGAGATTTCCGAGGCCAAGATTAATGCCATCAAGGTAGCTGATGACCGACAAGTTTTTTGTGCAAAACTGTTGACTTGTGAGATAGAAAGGAATGAGCTACTGCAAACCCATGCCATGTATGAAGAAAAGATTGAATCTCTCGAGATGTCACAAGTTGCTTTGGAAGAACTAATGACCAAGAAAGAGGAAGAGCTCAAGTGTGCCATGGTTACCATTGGTCTTTGGAACAAAGGATCAAAGACTTTGGACAATATCATTGGGTCTCAACAAATCTGTTCTGACAAGAGTGGCATTGGCTTTGGTGGTAAGAAAGAGCAAAAACAGAGTGTTTCAACATCTCATGATACAAGAACTCAAGGAAAGGGAGAACAAAAAATTCAACATAAGGATGGACTTCTTAAACTTCCTAGAGTTGGTAAGGTAAAAGAAAAGAAGGTATACCCTGTTTTTATTTGTCATCATTGTGGTATGCATGGTCATATTCGCCCTTATTGTTATAAGTTGTATGAGAAAGTGTATTTGCCTAGACCTAGGAATAGGAAGTTGGAAACCAAGTCGAGACGGGTTCCTATTGCAGGGGAAAGGAACCACAACGTCAAGACACCACCCAAGAATCGCAATACTCACAACTTTGTTCGTACTAAAGCGGTTTGGGTGAGAAAACTTGACTTGTGTTAATTTGTTTATTTGTTTTAGCTTTTGGGTTTTTGTGTGTTGTTTTTAATAAAATAAAAAAAAAAATCCCAAAAAGATTTTCTTAGTATGGTTTTGTAAGCTTGAAATTTTTGAGTGGTCCTTGGTGCATATTGGATTTGATGAGAATATCCATTACATGTTAATATATGTGTGCTTTCTGTGGTCATTACTCGTTTTGGAGTGTGTATGTTTTTTTGATTAGCATGTCTCATTCTGTACACACTCTTGGATTAGCAAATTTTGGAGTCTTCCGCCTTAGTGATTATATTTTTATGGACTTCTGGCATTGTATCTTTTGCTTTTCTAGAGGAATTGACCTATACTAGCATATCATGGGTGATGTTGAGTCTCTTAACCACCTACCATCTTTTTGCATCTCCAGGGCTTTCCCCTTAATTCTTTGCAGTCTAGCCATGAGGAAAAGGCTACCTCAGAGTCACCAACCAGGCCATCCTTATTATATCCATGCTTCTTTAGTTCGGTTTCTATACTCTTGAGCGTGTTAGCCACCAATGATTGTGCAAAAGAAAAAGAAAAAGAAAAAGAAAAAGAAAGAGAAGAAGACAAAATATGCAAAAGAAAGGAAAAAATGTGCAAAAGAAAGAAAGAAAAAAAGAAAAAGAAAAGATTCATTGATTGAGGGGGAGCCTCCGCCTTTACTCACCAAATACCCCCTTCATTCCTAGTGGTTTGACTTTCCTTTGTCGTGCTTAAGATTCTCTTGTCGGAGGTCTAACTTTCAGATCACTACTAGGATTGAATCTAGTTTTTGTCGAACTCCAAGAGTCACACACACACTTTTATCATGGGATCTATGCTTTTCACATAATGCATCACTTTCTTGCTTGAGGAATCTTATGCAGATTGTGCACATTGTGTTTACTAGTAATTGTGCTTCTTGGATAGTCTTGTGTGTTTTAAGGTACTAATCTGAAATTTCTAGATTGCTCCACCATATTATTTTTGTCGTTTTCTTCTTGTTCACTGTTTTTAGTGTTTGTGGTTGCTTTTAGTGAGGGGGAGTTTGGTTCATCTTGACTTGGGTTGGTTTATGATCTTGCTTTTGTTGTTTGAGAGTTTTTTTTCATGAGTCTTAGTTTTCATCTATTCATGTTTTCCATCTCATGTTTCAAGATAATCTTGTCCTATGTTTATTGTTTTTTCTTATACTCTTGTGGGACTAATAGTTGTTTTGGAGATTGTGGCACTAATAGCTGTTTTGCAGATCATGACCTTGAAAAAGAAGTTGGTTTTTGTTGGCTGTAATGGGTTGGGGTGTTTAGGATTTTATTTGTTAGATGTGTTTTGTCACGGCATTGCCAAAGGGGGAGATTGTTAGGTTTTATTATTGGCAATCCTGTTTGACAAGGATTTCTATAAGTAATTGGATTTCTTCCAAAACTAGGATTACTTTTGAATTTTCTATAAATAGTTGGTTTTCTCCCAAAACTATTGAATTCCTCCGGGTCTTCTTTTTGGTTCTTAAGGTTTATATCTGGGGATACTTTGTGAGTTTTCTTTGATGTTTTGATTGAGTATTCAGCTCATGTTTTAAAGAGTATACATCAAAGGTTTTGTGTGTTCTACAAAAGAGAGAGTTGTTCTTCGGTGGATTCTGAAGAATTCGAGCCTTTTGGCGGATTCCGGGGTGGCTCATCGTAAAGACAATTCCAAGGTGAAGACGGGTTGGAAGAGGCACATAGAGGTTGGTTCAATTAGGCGTGAATTCGCTAGGTAATTGAGAGTATATCTGTGTAATTCCTTTAAATCTTCTTAGTGGATTATTTTGTGGCTGTTGCCCGTGGTTTTTTAATCACAATTGGAGGTGTCCAATTGTGATTTTTTCCACGTTAAAATCGTTGTGTTGATTTGTCTTGATTGTTTGATTGAGATTGTTATATACTGCTTAAAATTGTTACATAATCACAAATCAAGATCTAGGGAATTTCTAGATTTTTCACACAGGAAAAAAAAAAAAAGCAGACAAAAGATTTTATGAACCAAATTAATGAACATGGATTCAAAACTTAAAATGAAAAGACAAGAAAACCTGAAATCTGTAAATGTAGTGGTCATCGCCATACAATCCTCGAAAGATATCTACAAAGTTCATCGCAGGGCTTCTGGGAAGGAAATGAACACTCAAATTCACCATACCCTTCACTCTATCAGGTCTGAACAGACACAAGTACCCGGCTATGTATGCTCCCCAGTCATGCCCAACCACAAACACCTTGTCTTCATCGGGTGCGATTTTGTCAAGGAGCGCCATGATGTCTCCAAGCACATGGAGGATGGTGAATTTAGTGAAGTCATTGACAGGAGGCCCCGTTGTGTCACCGTAGCCACGGAGATCTGGGGCCACAGCTCGGTACCCTTGAGCTGCCATGTAGAGGATTTGGTGGCGCCAAGAGTACCAGAGCTCGGGGAAGCCGTGGAGGAATAGGACCATTGGGCCTTCGCCTTTTTCTGCTATGTGCATGTTTATGCCATTGACACTAATCATCTTATGCTCTATCCCCTCCATCTCTAACAGAGTGTTTGTGGTATTTCTCAGTGTGTTACCTTGAGATGTTTATAGCAGTCTAGAGATTGTATCTCAGGAAAGGGACAAAGTAAAAGCTGTGAATTAAAAAACAAAATGAAATGATTAGCCGGCCATAGCAATATAAAAAATATACAGGACATTAGGAAAGTTAAAGTTAAAGAAAGAAAGAGCATCACCACCCAACGCCATATGAAGCTGCCAAAAATATTTCTTAACCAAACCATATGCATTTTTGGATAAAATTTTGCTGCTGTAATGGCTGATGGGAAAGAGAAGAGAGAGTGGGTTGTGGTGAAACTCAATGAATTATAATGATATTGATTTAAATGGAATACAATACAACATATAATTCAATATAAAGAAACTCTCAAAATAGGAGAGAGAGCCCTAATAAATATACGGAGAATAAGATCCACTTAGATAGAGAATTTGAACTATTGACCTTCTAACGAGAGTTAGAAGTTTTGACCAATCGGGCTAGCCCTGTTGGTTAGAGAGCCACTTTTACTGTAGCAAAATTGGAAGAGACATTTATAGTATATAGATATAGATAGATATATTTTCTTGAGATTTTTTCAATGGTTTTTTTTTTTTTTGGAAAACTGCAAATCAGTGGTATTTTCAAAAAAATATTTACAAATTTATAAAAATGTTTGTAACTTTAGTTATTAAAGTTGATAACGTTTACCACTGATTTGTAATTTTTTTTTGAAAACATGCCCTGAAATGCAATTTTTTTTTTTTTTTTGGTGCTGATCTTCAAATGAGATGCATAACGGTTGGCCAAGAATTTAGCCTTGTCTTCTTCTTCTTAGTTTATAATTGTTTGAAGGTTATTTACCCGAAAATTTTCTAAATTATTAAGAAGTATCACTTGAACTCTTTAAATTATTGAGAAATATCACTTTACCTCCTAAACTATAAAAGTATAAAATGAACTCCCTAAATTGTAAAAATGTACAAATTGGACCACCTACCGGAAGAGGCCAAAATGAAACACGCTAATAGTTTAAAGGGTTCATTTGTAACCTATTATAGTTTAGGGAACAAAGTAATATTTTTCAATTGTTTATAGGTCCATTTGTACGCTTTTATAATTTAGGATGTCAAAGTGATATTTTTCAATTGTTTAGGAGGTCTTCATGTAAATAACCCGATAAATTTAGCACTTGTAGGCATAATAAAATCTTAGGTAAATTACATTTACATCTCTTGAGGTTTGGGTTTAATACATATCACCCCTGATATTTGAAAAATTACACTAACCCCCTATCATTGTAATTATTTAGACAGAATTAACATTAGTATAAAAAAGACATTGAATTCATACATTTTCTCTTTTCTTACTTTGCTTTACTTTTTCTGTTTGGTTTTTTTTGATAACCGAGTATCCGGGCCAGCACCCCTTCGGAGTGACGCACCTCGACTAATCTCGGAGGTAAGTAGCCTGGGGGAAGCCGTGTACCCTTTTCAAACTGCTGCGGGAAAGGTGCTCCAGATGAGAGTCGAACCTGAGACGTGCGCCTAACCCACACATCCCAGACCCAAACCCCGGGCTACTACCCACTGGGCTACACCCCCGCCCCCCGAGTTGTTATCTTTTATATAAGCAGGGGTTTGTGAAATGAGACTATTAACCACATAAGTGAGAATGTAATTTCTATAACGTTAGGGAGTGGAATGTAATCGGACCAAATCTTAGAGGGTGTCAGTGTAATTTATCCTAAAATTTTGAATCTCTCTTACAAATCTCATTTCCATTTTAGCCCAAATACGTTAATTAATATTACATCTTAATTTCTCAAACCCCCTCAAAATAAATTTGAACTTCACATTTCTCTTTATTTGTACATTTTTCTGTCGAGTGAATAAAACGACATTATTAACAAATGAAATGAGAGTATGTAAAGAGCAACAACAAACTGTTTCTTCTATTTCGGACAGAAAAATCAATCCTCAAGGAAAAAAATAATTGAAAAGAGGAAAAAAAAAAATTTGATTTCAATTGAAATAAATTACAAGTTATCGTGTTCAATAACTTGAGCAGCTCTCCATTCTTCACCAGGGTTGACAAGCACAGGAACCAGCATTGAAGCAGAGCCGGTGCAGATAAAATAACCCTCATTTCCAAATTTGCGTGACAAGGAACCAGGGCTCGATACATAGATGTCCTCAAAACCAATCTTGATTATCCTGAAGAATAGCTCTCTCCCCTGATCAATGGTTTCATATTTAGAAGGTGCAGTGTTATAAAAATGTTTACGTCTTTCTTCTGGAGGAGCAGTGTAGACTCTACTGAGCTTATTCTTCAAAACGGTAATGGGCACGTCTTGAACGCTCCACACTCCAGGTTTCTTTTCAGGCTCGTACCCAAAAGAGAACCAGGCAGGGTTTTCTTCATATTTCATGGCTTCGGATGGAGATAAAACTTGGAATGGAGACGGTAGGGGAGGGTGGGTGCAGTAAGAGCAAGATCGAAGTCCTTTGATTGATGTCCCGTCTCTCTTCTTGAACTTGAAGTGGTTGAGTATAGCACCCGTCAGTTTGACAGGTTTGCGGCCATTGTTTTTCACTATCACTGCTGTTGCCATGCTCACCGGGTACAGTGACACTACATAGCTTATGTCAAGATTTCCACTCTTGCAGCTCAATTCAACCTACAACAACAATGGAATTTTCTCCATAATTATTACAATTCTGCTTCCATTTTATATGATTTCTATTTCTGTTGATTTGAAATTTACAGTTAGAAGGAAGCATCACTTTGTTTGGTTTGAAATTTTCAAAAACATATTTTTGAATTTTCAATCCTCATTCCCTATTTTCAGTGATTTTTTTTAAAAAATATTTGAATTTCTATTTATTTATACATTGTAGATCTACTTCAACTAGAAACATTTAATAAAAAAAATCACCCAATACAAAAAAATATGAAAATTCAATATTCTATTTTTTTAATGAATTTATATTGATCTTTATTCTTATTTTTTTAGTGAATTTATATTGATCTTTTTTCTATAACTATAATCCTTAAAGAGTATGAAATATTTCAAAATAACTACTTTTATATTGTTCTTTCTTCTTCTTCGAAACCATCATAATTTATCACTGAAAAACTTCATATTTATTCTTAGAAATTCATATATAATTAAATTTGTGCTTATCCTCCCTAAAAATGATTATTAATGCTCAAAATTTGTAAAATTCAAAACACAATAATTCAAGTATACCTGGAGAGCATCAATGGAATCGGAATCCACATCCTTAAGGGTCCATTGCGAAGTGATAACAGGTTTGGAATTCGCTTCAGACTCTGACACGTCATTTATCACCAAACCAATCCCTCCTTTGGCTTTGGCTTTATCTTCGGCTTCTTGACCAGGAATGGTGTACAAAACCTCCTCAAAACCATCAGGTTTCCAATAGACATTGGGCTTGTAAGAAGTGACATGGCCGTCTGGTATTCGAAGCCTCAGTGAGCTTCCATTTCTCACTGTCAGCTCAACCTCCTCCCCCGACAACGGCCCTGAAAATTTAATCCCTTTCCGGCCAAACCGCTCCTCAAGACTACTCTCCTCTGCCGGGGAAAGGGTGGTTGCACCAGCAGCAGCAGCAGCACAGGCCTTTGTTAAGCTTAAGGTTGGTTTTGGAAGAAGAATACTGGTACTAGTATTGAAAAAGGATAGTAGAGAAGCCATGAGTTGAAGAGATAATAGCTAATTAACTTAATTATGCAGCAGCCTCTCCTCCATACACTCTACACACTCATTATACGCCAACCACTCACCCCTCTATCCTTTTGTCCCTACTGTTGCTTCTTTTTTTTTTTTGTATTTGGATAAATTACACTTACCGCCCATTGAGTTTGAAAAAAATAGAATTAACCTTATTATTTTGACATAATTATGCTGACCTCTCTTAATTCACATGACAATTAGGTGTTTTTAAATCTATAATTTATTAGTCATATTAATGAAAAAATAATATTCCTACATATTTTTAATTAAAATTATCTCGGTTTATTTTAGTGTCTACCCATCTTTTGCATTAGTTTAAATCATTTTAGTTATATTAAAGAGAAGTCAATGTAATTATGTTAAAAGTATGGAAACTAACTGTATTTTTTTCAAATCTCAAAGGAGGTGAGTATAATTTACCCTTTGTATTTGGGCATTTTTCTATTTTTTTTAATACTTTTAGATTAGATAAATTTTATCAATAGTTCCTATACTTTCGACTCTGTATCATTTTAATCCTTATAGTTTTAATTGATTCGACATTGCCCATGAATTTATGATTTTGTTTCAAAAAAATTAGGTGAAAACTGACCCAAATTTTTTTGTTTGTGTCACTTTTTCAATCCCTCTTTCATTCAGATCAAAGCCAACAAATGTGTATGAGAGAGAGAGAGAGAGAGAGAGAGAGAGAGAGAGATTGTATTAACATATGCATTGAAGATTTAGACTAGTCGATCTTAAAATTAATAATACATGCACTGAACATTTACGCTGTGTTTGATTGGAGAAGTTGGGATGGGAAAGGAAAATGTAGGTGAAACATTCTCCAACCAAACACATTAGGAGTCAAGTTACTCAAAAATTTATTGAAGAAACTTTTTACTCGCACCAACAGAAACACAACAGTTTGTGTTCTGCAGCCCTCCCAGCTACTTGCAAGAAACACAACAAGAAGAAGGGGTAAGAAAATCAAAACTTCTTGATAAACTCACGAATGTGTTTGTTGATCTCATCTGGCTTTTCTTGGTTGAGAAAATGTGCTACAACTTCCATGACCACAACTTCATCCAACAGCGGGACATCTTTCTTGAATCCACCATTATTTATGTATTCCTTAGCGCCTCAGATGTCATAGACCAAGTCCAAGTCACCCACAATAAACTTCACAGGGACTTTCACTTGGGACCCTGTCCAAGGTGCTGTAAGTTCCCAGTTTCTGCAATGAAGTGGGAAACAAAAGGAAAATAGATAAGATCTCAGGAGAATTGTAATAACCACTTTTGGCGTTCTTGAGTATAGGTAACTCAACAACATGTTTGAACCTAATAGGCATAACTAAAATTATCCAATCCACAAAGTGTCAATGTATAACCATCCTAGGACTTGTAGAGAACTCCTAAGGGTGATAAACGAACCAAACAAAACAGCTGGAGCTCGACTCGTGTTTGGCTCGTTAGAAACTCGTTTGAATTCAATTTGTTAAATAAACAAATCAATCTTGAACACATTTGGAGCTTGTTAAAGTTTTCAAACCAAGGTCGAACAATCAATTGTTCATTCAGTTCGGTTTGATAAGCCTAAAACTATATAAAAATACCAAACTATTCAAGCTTGACTCGCCAAAAGCAAATTTTGAAACTCATTAAAGTTTTCAAACCAAATTTGAATAGTTATCTCGGCTTGTATATCAAAATAAAGAAAAAAAGAAGTTGGGGATGATTTGAAATCTACATGAAAAGAAGCTGCACTATCTCTAAAAATTTAGAATTTCTCCATGGTGATAGAAGATTTTGTCTTCTGAGTAATTATCATGATTAAGACATTAATAAATCTCAAAGTCATCAAAAACTAGAAAGTAACTCACAAATCAAAAGCTTGGTAGTAGTTATGTCATGACCCGAATCCGCCCCTTTGGGTTAGGGAAATAACCGGCCAGTAATCAAGAGATTACCTACGGCCTCAAACCAAATAAGATAAAACTCATCAGAGTAAAGGGGCCAAACGGAAGCAGATTTAAAACTTTGTCCATAGAACCGTGCTTATATGCATATCATAACATTCCACATTTACATATGTTAATAACTCACAACAGAAAGTATAGTAGCATAAGGTTCTGTACAGACAGGATCATTCAAATCTAAGTCAGCTAAACAAAACTATACACAGACGTAAACCGAAGTCCTCGCCAACATGACAAAATACACAGAAAGGCAAAAAGAGCGAAGACGTGTCTCGTGCGTGAGACGCAAGGGCTGACTCTTCAAAACTTTGGTTGTTCCATACAGACTTCACTGAGGCTGGGTCTGGACCTCTCTTGGCTCACCAACAAACACATGAATGAGCGTGAGTGAAAGCCCAGTGAATAATATCAATTAAAGAATATACATTGGAACAATATACATCAAACGGCCTTGGGCCCAATTTATATTTCTAACTAATACATCCATACATAGACATATGTAAGTTAAGTAACTGTAGTTCTAAGCACATCATACGGCCTCGGGCCCAATTTATTAGTATCATTCAGGTCAAACTGGCCTTTGGCTCATTCGTACTTTCGTTCACGTCGAACTGACCTTTAGCCCATTCATTCATGTCGAACTGGCCTTTGGCCCATTCGTTTATGTTGAACTGGCCTTTGGCCCATTCAAATGACAAACTGTTATTCGTGTGAAACTATCATTCGCGTCAAACTGTTATTCGTGTCAAACTGGCCTCTGGCCCATTCATTTATTCATGTCGAAACGGCCTCTGGCCCATTCATTCATGTCAAAACGGCCTCTGGCTCATTCATTCATGTCAAAACGGCCTCTGGCCCATCCACTTATTCTTGTCAAAACGGCCTCTGGCCCATTCATTCATGTCAAAATGGCCTCTGGCCCACCCATTCATTCTTGTCAAAATGGCCTCTAGCCCATTCATTCATTCTTGTCAAAACGGCCTCCGACCCATTCATTCATTCTTGTCAAAACGGCCTCCGGCCCATTCATTTAGTATAGCAAACATTGTTCGCCAATTGAATTAACGAATCTTATAAAACTTACATGGACGTAAGCAATTGGACAATAACATATTTCAGATATCTTTGTTAGATATTACTCACAGTGATCGGCTGATTGATTTGCCCTGAAGATTGACCCTACACATTACATAACACATATGGGTCACAACCGATTCAATCCGTTCTTAATTCACATATTCCTCTTTAGGCTTAATTCTTATTCTTCTAACTCATTTACAATGCTCATTGTATGCCTAAGAGTATTTAGAAGTGAAAGGGAACGGAAAACGGAACACAGAATGCATTTTCAAAATTTCAAAAAATAGGGTCCTCGCTCGAGCGTGGACTTACCCGCTCTAGCGGACCCTTGAGGCCCGCAAAAGTACTGGATGTGTCAAATTTACGCTCGATCGCGAACTCTGGTGCTCGAGCGGAAGGCCTCTCTACATGGCTCCCCGCTCGAGCGTGAACATACCCGCTCGAGCGGACACCATGTCTACAGAAAATACTGGGAACACGATTTTCACGCTCGAGCGGCGGTTTCCCCGCTCGAGCAGACATCAAAATTCTGGAAAATCCAGAACATGTTCTTGAGCTTCAATTTGATGTTCAAAGGTTCCAAATGCATGATTTTAGCTCAAACTTCACATATACATATTCTAACATGGTATCAACACCAAATTACAACATAATGAAGCTCAATTTCACAATTTAATCACATGCATGTCTCAAATTAACTCAAACTCATCACCAACACACTAGATTCAAACATGCAAGACTCAGACTCCCATGATTTGCACTTGCATGTGAAATATACACAATATCTTCAACTTAATTGGTGAAGAGATTATCAAATACATGGTTATTAATCAAAACTCAACATGGATTGCATACTTTATGCTCAAACATGGAAATTTATGGCAATTTCCTTCATGCATGTGTTCTAAGACTTCAAATTCAACAAAACCAACTCAAATTCATTTCAATTCTTACTCTTGATCATTAATCAACTTAGAATACACAAAATTACACATTAAACTCATGAATTCAAAAATCAATTGCTTACCTAGAAGCCCAATCTATGGTTAATTCTTGAGTTTAACTTCAAGACTTCCAAGCTTCAAGACCAAAGCATAGATTTTCTTCCCTCTCTCTCTCTCTAATTTCGGGTCTCTCTCCCTCTAGAGAGTTAAATCAGCCAAAAGATGAAGCAAAGAGAGGAATTGAGTATGTATTGCCCTCATTATAAGTCCCATTAGTCACAATTAAATAAGATTAAACAATTGAGCACTATAACACCAATTTAATCTATTTAATTTGATCCGAAACAATTTTCAATTAAATTTCACCGTAGGCTCTAAAAATTATGCCAATCACAATGGCCCAGTCAATTTTGGGTTCTGTGGCCGATAAGGCCGTCAATTTAATTTTCAAAGCAGATAATCAAACAGATAGTCCTACGGTGAACAGATAGAAATTCAAAACCACATATATTCACATAATTGGCACACAAAATCATATCAGACACATAATCAAATTTATAATAAGGACCCATTAGCATAATACGGAACAAGGTCATCACAGTCTTCTCCCCTTTAGGAAGTTTGGTTCTCCAAACTTATTTCACCTTTAGTCGAACACGATTCGGAACACTTTTTATTCAACGGTTCCAATCCTTTTTGATAGCCATTACTTAGTCTCAAAATCAAGCGACACTTTGTTCTTAATCAGTTAGAGACTTACCTTTTCCTCCATACAAGGTTTGTATGGCGTCACACCAAAACTAGAGTGCAGGCTGTGGTTGTAAGCAAGGTCTGCCAACAACGGATAGATCTTCCAAATTTCCTGAAAAATCTACTGCATATATTTGGAGCATTTCTTCCAAAAGTTCTTTCTGATTATACATCAATTTGCAGATGGAAAGTAGCGCTGACTCACAATTCAGTTCCCATTGCCTCTCGAAGGCTTGTCAAAATTCAAACACATTTTAGGATTCCGGTCTAATACAATGGATACTGGGATCCCAGGCAACCAATCAATCTTATTGAT